TAGATTTTAAAACAAATTTTTAAAGATATGGGTCGGCATTTTAACTGAGAAAATGGAACTGTTTTTTGAAAAAGGGCCCTTTTCTTTTAAAAGCTCGGGTTTTCTCTTCCCTTTCTTTTGACCTATTTTTATGAGTGGTTCAAAGCAGTAAAAAGGAGTTTGTTTTCCCTTTTAAAAAGGGCCCAGGTTCAACAGAAGTTTTTTATGCTTTACTGTACCACAGCCCCGACATTTTTACCAGAGTTTTCTGCATATTTACTAGATAGAAGACTGATTCTGTAAAAAAGATGGGAGATAATCAACAAGTTCATCTACACAATATTTTAGGGCTGTCAGTATGAACTGTAAGCATTATACAGAGTATCTGAGTGAATAAGGTCTGGATCATTTTATCATAGATTTAGTACATTCCCCTACAGGGTTTGAGAGACCACCATCAGAGCCATGGCTGGTTGCAGTGCAGGTCCTATCAGAAAAAAGCACAATGATTTAGAAAGTGCTTTCAAATGTTAAGGAAATGGGATCCTTAAAACACTGGAAGCATCATCAACACAGGAATAGTCAGTGCTTTATTAAGATAGAATTCCTCAAATGGTAACTTGGGTTGGGGTTAATACACGTTGTAGTTTTTCACTTGATACTGAAAGGTGTAAATGGTTATATGCTGTTCTTCCATTTTTAAGGAATAATAGAAGTTATATGCTATTCTTTCATTTTTAAGGTGGTATGCTCCACACACAGGGGTCTCAAAGGAATGTAGGGACTGAAGCATCTGTCCAGGCTGTCCCTTTCAGGCCATGAGAGAAAGCACTGCAAGCCACATCTAGAACTGTTAGTGAAAAATGAGCTGGAGAGACGTGATGTAGTTTGGGAACTGATATTTTGCGCTGTTTGACAGCATAACTCAAATTACTAATTAAAGCGTTGAGTATTCACAAGCCAGTAGAACCCTATAGACTGATCTGTCTACGAGCTCCATCGAAGTGATTACCTGTGGCCAGAATATCTTCTACTTCCTGCTGCCGGTATGTGCAGTAGAACCCTATAGACTGATCTGTCTACGAGCTCCATCGAAGTGTATAGGGTTGCAGAATTCAGGTCCAGAGCCAGCATTCAGTGACGATGCTGCTTATTTCTTCTAGCCTTTAGCCTTCCCCACAAATATTAGCAATCAGCTTTTGGCACATTAAGTATCTTATCACTAATCTGGAGGCTTAAAGATTTCTATAAGCCTTTAACCGCAGACACCCACATTCGCAGAGCCGGGGTTGTGGGGATAAGGCCCTTGCCCCAATGGCAAGGTACAACCCCCCCCCCCCATGTTGAGGGCATTTGGCCTAGTATGGTTCAGGAGGGAGGAGCTGCATTCTCCCTTCCCTTCCTTTACTGGTCTGCCAGGCTGCATGCTTAGATATGGGTCTTGATTTTTGGTGGAAACCCCATGCTTTTTCTCTTGTTTTTTGCTTGGAGTGCACCATCAAAATACATACAATAGGGAAAAGGGTCTGGTATGTACTTTAACTGAGATCCCCACACATTTTTTGTGGAGTCCCTCAGTAATGTCCATGTCAGACCCTCATCAAGAATAAAGGTCTGATATAGATAAAGGGAATCTCTACTCTTTTGTTTACAAACAGAAGTAAAGCAGCAAAAGCTCTCATTTTCCATCAAGTTAAAAAGCATTTTTGTAATTGTCAGCTGTTCTGCAGTAGGATGTATGCATTGAACAGCTTTACAGGCAAGTTAAGTTCATCCTAGACCAGGGGCGGACTGACAACTCATGGGGCCCCCGGGCAATAGGGGATCATGGGGCCCCTGTGTCCTTGCCCAAACTCAAAAAAGATACCAGGGGCATCTCATGGGGCCCCCTACTGACCCCGGGCCCTTGGGCAGTTCCCAAGTTTCCAAATGGTCAGTCCGCCCCTGCCCCAGACATGTTGTTTAAAGGAATTTTGTAGTTTAATTGCCAATTGTATTTTATTAAAATTTCAGCTTTCCCTCCAAATGAAATAATTTATAATTTACATCTGCTTCGGTACATTTCCAGGGCAGTGCCCAGCCCCTGTGTCATTTCTTTAAGAATCCAATTGCCTATTAGCCCAGACATTGTCCATTACTGTTTTTTTTTATAACATTTGACTCCTTTTCACTTCAATGAGGTTCAAATTTGACACCTGAACTTTACTCAAGTTCTGCTAACCTGCCTTGAACTGAACCCAGCTATATTCTGCTCAACCTCAGTGTCATGGTGGAGCCACAAATACATTATTAGTGAGGGTAGACTTCCTCTGATGAGAGCTGATTTGTATCTCCAAAGATCAATGCAGATTAGAGGAAAGCAGCAGCATTGTCCCTAAATGCTAGGTCTACTATTGGGATAGTGTAGAGTCTTTGGGATAAGCAAAAATGTCACAAATAATTAACACATGCGTGGTTACAGCAATGTGTGAATGTGGATTGGTGCCATCCACTAGACCATTGTGCACTTCTGTGTTCTCTGCCACTGCAGTGATGTGTATATGTGTCACCTAGACTTCTCATCTATACACGGTTAGGTGCTCCAGGGTTAAAGACAAATATGGAGAAAAAACTTTTTGGTTTCTGAGAATTCTAATAAGTCCTGTTCTTAGTCCTGGGGCTTTGTTGAGTTTTTGGATATAGGGAATAAACCTCCATTTCTATGTCAACATCATACCATGTAGCAAGACCTAATTATTAGTTTCAGCCATGCTCAGGCCTTTATATATGTGAGCTCACTGATACTCTGGACTCTCTTGCTCTTTCTGCTGTAGGAACCTACTTCTGTGTGAAAATGCATGCTGAAAGAACACGAAAAGTTCACATACTGCTTGTTTGTTGGGAAAACCTTTCAAGGGCATCCTGTTAGTCAGGGACTGACTGTGAGTCCATGCATGCATTCATTCTAGTATGATTTTATAATGATTATTTACTTCAGCTTTAGCAGCCACATTTCCCTTATGGCCCATGTGCATACCAGTACCCAGATGCCCTCAGGACATAAAGTATACAGACTTTCTGTGGGAAGAGCGTAATCCAGTATAAATCACCAAAGATCAGGCAGGAACACGCTTGATCAGTCAGGAAACACTATCGCAAGCATAGGTATGATGATGTTTAAATAAGGCGACAGGCTGTGCAATGGCTGTGTGAGGGACCGCCGAGCGGCACCACTAGCACTCCACTGGTCAGGCGTGCCCAGAGCGCGGAGTCTAAGCCCCAGGGTACTTGTTCACCAGGGCCCCTGATGGTGGGGATGGACTTGTAGTACCCCGAGACCAGGTCGCCTCTACTGAGCACACCTGTCAGTGGTAGGGGTGTTCGCCAGGGGTTCCAACCAGGGAGAGCCAGATGTGAGGAGGTCGGGTGAGCCCGATGGGATGGATGGATGGCTGGCTGAGCAAGTGCGTAGTCAGACAGGCCGAGTCGGTAAGGTAGAGGACGGTAAGGTACAAGGGAGCAGGCAGAGAATCGTCGGGTCACACGCCAGGTCAGCAACAGGAGATCAGATCTAATAAGGGGCATCCAGGGAGAGAGGTCAGGCAAGCAGGGGTCTGGGCAGGAGAAATCAGCAAGGTCAAAAGCAATCCGGGTCAATAACTTACTAGGCACAGGTACAGGAACACAGGAAGCAGGTAAGACCAGAAGGCAACGAAATGACAGCTCAGGGACCTTTAAATATCCCGCCCTGCGCTGCCATTGGTGCCCAGCGGGCGGCCGCGGCTTCTACTGCGCATGCGCGAGCTCGAACGCCGCGGCCGGCCCGGACCTAGTGCCCGTGTACTAGGTGGAGCAGTGCGCCTGCGCCGGGACCATCGCGGCAGGGATCGAGGAGATCCCTGACATTGCCCCCCCCCTACGGGCAACCTCCGGATGCCCACCCGATCTCTCCACCACGGGTGATCACAAAGAAACCTCCGGACAAGCCTAGGTGCATGGACATTATGGGCTGGTTCCCACGAATTGTCCTCAGGGCCGTAGCCCTTCCACTTGATGAGAAATTGGGTCTGGCCCCCCCTTCGTCGGCACTTCAAGATTGCCTCCACCTCGAATTCTTCTTCCTCTTCAACTGTTACGGCCTCCGGGGGCCTGGATTCTCGTTCCGGGAAGGCATCAGGGACTACTGGTTTCAACAGGGACACGTGGAAGACAGGGTGGATCTTGAGTGTCTCGGGGAGAACAAGTTCATAGGCCACCTCATTGACCATCCGTTTGATGCAGAAAGGGCCTATAAATTTAGGTCCCAACTTTTTTGACGGGCAGAGCATCCTCAAGTTAGACGTAGCCAGCCAAACCTTCTCTCCGGGCTGCAAAACCAGATCCCCTCTTCGCTTCCTATTAAAAGCCCTCTTGTAGTCTTCTTGGGCTTGACGGATGGCTTCCTGTAGTTTCTTATTGTTGGAGGTGAAGAAGGTCAGTGCATCCTGTGTCGCTGGAATCGGGCATTCCGGGACTAAGTCCGGGAGGAAGACAGGATGAAACCCATAGTTGGCGAAGAACGGGGACTGCCCAGTTGCTGAATGGCAAGCGTTGTTGTACGCGAATTCTGCCAAAGGGAGGAGTGGTACCCAGTCGTCCTGAGAGAATGATGTGTAGCATCGCAGGTACTGCTCCAGGGTCTGATTGGTCCTTTCGGTCTGGCCATTGGTCTGAGGGTGAAATGCCGAGGAAAGGGACAGCTTGATATCCAGGGCTTTGCACAACGCCTCCAAAACCGCGAGGTAAACTGCACCCCTCGGTCCGAGACGATGTCTTCGGGAACCCCATGCAGTCTAACGATCTCTCGAATAAAGACTTGCGCTGTCTCGGCTGCTGATGGAGTCTTCCGTAAAGGGATGAAATGGGCCATCTTGGATAAGCGGTCCACGACCACGAGAATTGCTGTGTGGTCCAGTGAAGGTGGAAGCTCGACTATGAAGTCCATAGAGATTTTCTGCCAGGGCCGTTCAGGGATGGGCAATGGACGTAGCAGGCCCCACGCCTTATTTCTTGAAGGCTTGTTCCGCTGGCAGATGGCACAGGAGCCCACGTAGTTCTTACAATCCTTGGCCATGTCCGGCCACCAGAAGGAACGTCGGAGAAGTTCCAGGGTCTTGACCGGCCCAAAATGTCCTGCCAGTGGATGGTCATGGCAATGTCCCAAGACTAAGGTTCGGGCATCCTCCGGCACCACAATCCGGTCCTCCCTCCATAGGAGTCCCTCCTTGTTCTGGAGGGGGGCCCCATCGGAGGTAGACATCGCTGTGGACGCTCTCAGGATCTCGGAGCGAAGGTTTGTCTGAAGGGCCAAGAAATTTCCTGCAGGAAGAATAGTGTCGGGTACTGGGATCTCCTTGGTGTCCTCGTACATGCGCGACAACGCGTCAGGCTTCGTGTTTTTCGAGCCGGGCCTGTATGTGATGTGGAACTGGAACCTCGAGAAAAACAATGCCCATCTTGCTTGTCGTGGACGTAGACGTTTGGCCGTCCTCAGATATTCCAGGTTCTTGTGGTCCGTGAATATCAGGATGGGATGGGAGGCACCTTCCAGCAGGTACCTCCATTCTTCTAAAGCGGTTTTGATAGCCAGTAGCTCGCGATCCCCAATGTCGTAGTTCCTCTCCGCAGGGGTAAGTTTCCGTGAGAAAAATGCTACTGGGTGAAGTAATTCCTTGGCGCCCTTCCGCTGGGAAAGGATGGAGCCAACCGCGTTTTCTGATGCATCTACTTCTAAGATGTAGGGCAGGGAGGCGTCGGGATGACCCAGAATGGGTGCCGAGGTAAATAACCTTTTTAGTGCTTCAAAAGCTTCCTGTGCCTCGGGCGTCCATCTGAATCGCGTCCCAAGCTTAGTTAACTGAGTGATGGGGGAGACCAGACCCGAGAAGTTCTTGATGAACTTCCGGTAGAAATTTGCGAACCCAATGAAACGTTGGACACTTTTCCTGTCCGTGGGTTCAGGCCAATCTAGGATCGCTGAGACCTTCTGAGGGTCCATTGCGACCCCCGTGGTGGAGATAATCAGACCCAGAAATGTAACGCTAGCCTGTTCAAAGCAGCATTTCTCTGCTTTAGCGTACAACCCGTGCTGCCGCAACCGCCCCAACACCTTTGTTACATGTACCCTGTGCTCCCCCAGGGAGGATGAGAAAATCAAAATGTCGTCTAAGTAGACGATGACAAAGATGTCCAGGAAGTCCCTAAAGATGTCGTTTACAAAGTGCTGGAAGGTGGCTGGCGCATTGCACAACCCGAACGGCATGACCAGGTATTCAAAATGGCCGAAACGGGTGCGGAAGGCCGTCTTCCACTCATCCCCCTCCCTTATGCGAACCAAATTGTAGGCTCCCCTTAAGTCCAGCTTGGTAAAAACTACTGCAGCTTTTAAGCTCTGGAATAATTCAGGTACCAGTGGTAATGGGTAACGATTTTTAATGGTGACCCTATTCAGCTCCCGATAGTCAATGCATGGCCTCAAAGTCTTGTCCTTCTTTTCTACAAAGAAGATCCCTGCACCTGCCGGGGAAGTGGAAGGACGGATGAATCCCTTTCGGAGGCTGTCCTCAATATAGTCCTTCAGGGCCCCTAATTCTAGCTCAGAAAGGGGAAAAATTCGCCCGAAACGGAATTTCAGAACCGGGCAACAGATCAATAGGACAGTCATAAGGGCGGTGGGGGGGTAGAGCATCTGCTCCCCGTTCACTGAACACATCAAGAAACTTATGATAGGCTGCAGGAATCACTTGTTTTAGGCTGTCATCCCCTTCAGAGCACAGGAGGACCTGGGGGACCTCCGGGCCCGAAGTTCGACACAGTTCCCGACAATATGGGGAAGGGAACGAGACAACCCCAGTCTCCCAGTCAATTTGGGGGTTATGGGCCCGCAACCAAGGGAGCCCCAGAATGACTGGGAAAAGGGGGTGTGATGCAATAGCATCCAGGCGGAGGAGTTCCCGGTGCTGACCGGCAATGGAAGTCACAATGGAAGGGGTCTCCTGGTTAACAACTCCTGACTTTATCCGGGAACCATCAGCCAAAAAGATGTGAAACCCCTTCTCCTTTGGGCGGAGGGGGATACCCTGCTGGTGAGCAAAATTGATATCCACAAAACAGCTGCATGCCCCCGAATCAACTATGGCCGTCACCTCCACGGTCCTTTCTGAAAGCTGAAAGGAGAGGGGAACAACTAAGTACTGGGACGGATTCATATTGCCAACAGATAAAGAAGATGAGGTGAACTTACTCAGTTTCTGCGGGCAGGAACGCACCATGTGACCAGCTTCGCCGCAGTACAGGCACAGATTCTGGGAGCGTCTGCGCTGGCGTTCCTCAGGCGATAGTTTAGGCCGAGCCAGGCCTAGCTGCATGGGTTCGGGAGCATCTTCAAACGGCAGGTTCTGGATGCTTGGCCTAGTATGTTGACTGGATCCCTGAAATGACCCCCAGGGATTTCCGCGACCCTGACCAGACCTCTCCAATCTGCGCTCCCGTAGCCTACGGTCAATTTTAATGGTGAGTGCAATCAAGTCCTCTAATGTCTCGGGCACCTCCACCCGGGCGAGCTCGTCTTTCAGGCCTCAGAAAGGCCCATACGGAACTGGTGCAAAAGTGCGAACTCGTTCCAACGGGTGTCACCCATCCAGCGCCTAAAGTCAGAGGCGTATTCCTCAGCCGCACGCCGACCTTGTCGGAGTGCGTATAGTGTGGCCTCGGCCGAGGCCGCCCGCCCGTTGTGGGTCATCATATAAGATGGCCATGGCGTTAAAGAAGCTGTCGACCGTAACCAGGTGAGGGTCATTGTTTCCCCTTAGTCGGTGGGCCCAGTCTTGGGGTTCACCCTGCAACAGGGAGACAACAAACCCCACTTTCACCGATTCTGTCAAAAAGGTCCGTGGCTGCAGTTCAAAATAGAGCAGACAGGAGTCCCGGAATGACCGAAAGCGTGTGCGATCCCCATGGAAGCGCTCGGGTAAGGGTACTCGGGGTTCCGCCATAGGGAGTGATGTGGGAGGCCCAGGAGCCGGCTCGTGGGCTGCTGCGACCGGTGGTGCGGGAACCGGGGCCTGTGAAACAGGAACAGATATGGTGCAGGCCTGAAACCGATTCTCGATCTGCAGACATCTGTCCTGTAATGTGTTTACTGCTTGCGTCAGGGTGGCCAGGTGCCTGCAAACCTCGTCCAACGGGGAGAGTCCTCCTCGAGGCTCAGTCATGGCCTTCTGGTACTGTGAGGGACCGCCGAGCGGCACCACTAGCACTCCACTGGTCAGGCGTGCCCAGAGCGCGGAGTCTAAGCCCCAGGGTACTTGTTCACCAGGGCCCCTGATGGTGGGGATGGACTTGTAGTACCCCGAGACCAGGTCGCCTCTACTGAGCACACCTGTCAGTGGTAGGGGTGTTCGCCAGGGGTTCCAACCAGGGAGAGCCAGATGTGAGGAGGTCGGGTGAGCCCGATGGGATGGATGGATGGATGGATGCTGAGCAAGTGCGTAGTCAGACAGGCCGAGTCGGTAAGGTAGAGGACGGTAAGGTACAAGGGAGCAGGCAGAGAATCGTCGGGTCACACGCCAGGTCAGCAACAGGAGATCAGATCTAATAAGGGGCATCCAGGGAGAGAGGTCAGGCAAGCAGGGGTCTGGGCAGGAGAAATCAGCAAGGTCAAAAGCAATCCGGGTCAATAACTTACTAGGCACAGGTACAGGAACACAGGAAGCAGGTAAGACCAGAAGGCAACGAAATGACAGCTCAGGGACCTTTAAATATCCCGCCCTGCGCTGCCATTGGTGCCCAGCGGGCGGCCGCGGCTTCTACTGCGCATGCGCGCGAGCTCGAACGCCGCGGCCGGCCCGGACCTAGTGCCCGTGTACTAGGTGGAGCAGTGCGCCTGCGCCGGGACCATCGCGGCAGGGATCGAGGAGATCCCTAAATCTGTTTGTTTGCTGCCTTGCTGAATAAAAGTGCAGGACACACCAACATGGACTGTACCTGGGTGTCCCTGTTTTGTTTACTGCTGCCACTTGCCCCTTTCCTATATGTATTTATTTTTAACTACTTGAGAATTTTGAACTGAAGAGATATGTACAAAATAAGTGAATATTGCTAGGTTGCATCTCTTATGTCAAGCTTCTTGTGAAAAATTGGAAAAGAAGCCTTATTTTTTTATTTGAAAATAACTTTTCCATACCTTGTACCAGAAACATCATGCTAGCTGCATTTTAATTAAAGAGGAGCTCAAGTCATATTTCTGAAAATTAACAATATTAAATAAAGTGATATATCAAGGGATATTCACTGAATTATTAATACAAATATATTAATTCTTATGATTTTGTTTTTAAATTAAAACTCAACAGCTGCAAAGACTGTAGCTGCTGAATTTTAATAAACAGACTCTTGCCTGTCCTAAGATCCAGCCCTGAGCTCACCCTGGTCATTTTCTCTACAGTCTTCAGTCCTCTGTCATCTTCACCATGGGCACCCGGATGTGACAGCTTGCGGCTTCACAGTCAGCTGCCAACTGTGCATGCGCAAGCTGTGAATTGTGAATAGTCCCACAGTACTTCGGGGAGGGAAAGAGGAGAACTTCTAGGCAATCCAGGTGTAAGTGGGAACTGGAACCTGTTAAAACCACCCTCCGTCTCCCCAAAAAAATTTGCCAAATGTTAAAGACGGGGGAGGAGGCCTTAAAGGAGAACATTCCCTTTTTGAGTGAAGTTCCGCTTTAAGACAAATTATAATAGAACTACTTTTTAAAAGTAACACTGGTCAAAACAGAAAAATGTCTTATCTATAGATTTATAGAATCTAGCAAAATGTAAATATTTTTTGCAAAGCTATATTACCAGAACAAAGCCTAGTTTTTTCCCTAAAAACCAATTACTGTATGGCTTAGAGGAACTTCACTCATGTTCTTAAAAATTAAGTCACCAGCTACTAACAATTCTTCACCAGCCCTTGGGGTCCCTGGAACTGCCATCATGGATGCATAGACTTTTTCACTGTCTTACAGCCAGTTTCTCACTGTGTGGATGTGTGTGTGTGTGTGTGTTTTGATGTGTTCCAGAAGGCTGTAAACAGAGAGAGGGAGGGCAAAACTGATATCATCTTTACCTAGATATTGATTGAGGAAGTGGGAGCGGGTATCTGTCAATGAAGGGAATTTTTTCCTGAAAGAAAAAAAATTTGAAAGTTAGGGGCTGGGGGATAAGAGGATAATTAGCACCAGGGGCGGACTGACAACTCATGGGGCCCCTGGGCAATAGGGATCATGGGGCCCCTGTGTCCTTGCCCACATTAAAAAAGCCTATGAAAAAGGTACCAGGGGCATCTCATGGGGCCCCCTACTGACCCCGGGCCCTCGGACAGTGCCCGAGTTTCCAAATGGTCAGTCCGCCCCTGAGTGGCACTTCAATTTTTGGTGAAAGTCTGCCTTTTAAGTAATGAAAAAGTTATTGCCAAATAAACAGTCCTACAGGGGAAATGTACAAATTGCTCTCTTCCATAAGGGATATAGTATGAGAACTGAAGTTGTCAGGAAAGCCTTACTGCAAACAAGTAGCTTTGTAATGGACAAGTCAACATCTAAATGATTGCTGCCCTCAAATCGGCCTCAAGTGCACTGTGACCCTCAGTATGTCCCTAAGCTTGTAGCACTTCAGTATGAGATATGGTAATTTGAAGGCCATCAGAAGCCATCAGAAGCCTTAGGAAGAACAGAAATAATCTGTGGCAGCACTTGGGGATTGGGGCTGCTAGCAGCTCAGGTCATATTCAGCCTTGTGAGCTTAAAACAGCTGCAATTATTGCATCTTTAGTCTACCTCTGCCTTATTTTCCTTTTCTATAATGGTATCTCTGTTGACAAAATACATCCTTGTGGAAAATGTATGATATTTATTGTGCAGTTTGTAAAACAACTCTGAAAAATAAATATTTTACATTGTTACTTGCATGTCGACTTGCCCTGGCACCCTGGGTTGCCTTCAGGTTTCTTTAGGGGTGCCTTGACAAAATGCCTAAATTTGCCCAAAAATAACCTTCTAGCTGATGGCGTCCTAACAACCAATGACTTATCAGTTGATAAGGAGGACATTGGGTGCCTGTACAGCATCCTTGTTTTTCCCTACCTTGCCCCTCTCTGTCATCACTTATGTAACATTAGGTGAATGAGGGAGAGCAAACTGAGGGAGAAGAGAAACATTGCCATACTAGTCAGTATCAGTGTGCAAATGTGTATGTGCTTTGTAAGAATAAATCACCTTCTAATGTTGGGTGTCCTATGTGTATGGATTTTCCGGTGTTATGTAAAACTGTTAGTTTAGTTTTTTACATTTTAGAATTGGGTGCCTGGAGATTTTGCATAATTTTAAAGGGTGATTAAAACACTGATATAGACAATAGAATTATCTCTGTTCAACTGTCATATCTACTAACATTGCCCTAATAGATTTTTCATAATGCAACTTTACAGAGAACCTATTTCTTGTCAATTAAGGGCAAAGTAATACATTTTCTAGATAGCAGACACAGTAAGAAGCCTTCTGTGTCCACTCTTACCACCCTGTTTGCCATTCAGAGTCCTAGGGAGCATGAGAGAGCCCGCTCATGATGCAGCATGTCATGCCTGATCACCCTGTCAATAAGGTCTGAGTGTTGGTGGGAGAGGATCCTTGGCCATATGTAAGCTCTTACCCAGTGTATCTGGCAGATGAGTGGGGCAGCAAAGTGCATGAAAGGTAAGTGAACCTGTGAATTCCAGTGAACCTGAATGAGCAAAGTCCAAGTGCAGTTTCAGAGAGTGACATCTCTTTTATGCAATTGTCGGTAGGGGCAGGAACAGAACTAGTGAAATGGAAAGTTACAACCGGAGTCTCTAAGAGATATGAAGAAGGAGTTGGTAGTATGTACACACAGAGACACGGGAAGCGCTCTTGTGAAACCGGGCATATTGCCAACTGCTGATAGCAATATTTGCTAAAGTGCTAAAATCTTTTTTAAGGAGAACAAGACCTGCAGTCCCCATTTCTTTTAGTGAAATATGCCATGAAGTGAAGCAAACATTTTCTATTGAAATATGTTTTTTTTTTTTTAGAATTCCCACACATACCCATAAGCATACTGAAACATTTGATGGGAAGCAGGACTACTTACCAAATACTCCCCTTCCCTTTTTGAATTTTTTGTATGAGTGATCAAATGGTTTCTGCAAAAAAAAAAATTGAAATGCATGAATACCTATTACAAATCACAAAATATAATCTAAAATGGACTTATTTCAGAAAAGAAATTAAACTGCTAGATATCACATCCAAGAGATGATCTTGATTTAACAGATTGATTATAAAGCCTATGTGGACTTATAAAAGGAATCAAGATCCAGCTTAATACGTTAAAGGTCGATTGCACCATGGGTATTATTATGGTTCACAAATACATAAATTGTGTCTCTATGAAATAGACTTATTAGTGCAGAGCCAAAATGTGTGACCAGGTCAGGGAAAGGTTTACACGTATCACCAGAGAATGGCTTGATTTATTTAGTAATCTTATCATGAAAATTGGTTCCAGAAGGAAAATTAAATACATATTTTAATATGTAATTAAAGTGACATTTTAACAATTGTTAATACTTATTACTATTTTCTCACTGCTATAAAATGTGCAATTTGATTTATCCAATTTATTTAATACATTATCTGATCATTTTGATTTTGCCGGTAATAAATGAATAAATGATTACATTTTTAGAAGGAGAGCCAGAAGTATTTCAGAAGTTCTATTTTTTACTATTGAAAAAATTAGGCGTAGCAACATCTGATTTCTTTAATAATGTATAAAAATATATTTGATAGCAATGTTAGATTTGCAATGTAGTAAGCCAGGCATTTACAAACACAGTCAAGAACTTTTAAGGGCACCAGATTTTATGTCATCTCTCAGTCCAGTACATGCTTACTCTGCATAATGCCTAAACAAAGTGTCAGTTCTTCTGGCAAGTTAATACATACCTTTAAGGGTTCGTAACACTTAACAGGCATGCATGCACCTAATCTTTTTGAATCTCCAGTGCCACTTTACAATGGTGCTAGAGGAGGGATTATTTATCCTAGTGCCATTTTAAAATGGCACCAGGAATTATCAGCTCCTGTGGGTCCCAGCAGGGATTCAGACTGGAAAACTGCCTGCTGTCAGTGACAGCCAGCATCTGGCACTACATCCAGGATCTGAAAAAAAAGCAGCTCATTGGCCTTGATGCTCTATAGACCGCTATATAGAAGTGATAGAGTTTATAGGGACATCACTGAACTTCCTGTCAATGTGGAGACTCAGGCAGAGCTGTTGCAGCTCAGTCAAATCTCTTCCTACAGCAGTAGGTCACTGCTTTTAGTGATCTATTGCTGGCTGATTATCCTCACACACACTGACTGACCATCAAATATCTTTACTTAACAAAAGACTACATTTTGCACCTACCACTCAACCCAACCTCTTCACTTTGTTCAAAGACATGAACAAATTCATCTTACTGTCACTAGGTTTTATCACATCAAGACAGCTAAAAATAATAAGGCGAATGAGAATTATACCATTTCCATTATAACTAGTGGAGAGGACACTGCTATCCTTAACAATATGGATATGTGTGTCCTAGCACAGTTGGAAGAACTCCACAATGAACACATGGATAACATCACATAGTGGCTAACACAACATGATTCCACCTCTCCCCCCATGCGACACACCTTCCTCAAACCCAGGGCCATCTTCAACCCCATTCATAATAAAGGGACCTATCTGATTGAAATGTACAACATTCTACCAAGTGGTCTACTCCGACCTACATAGGATGTGTGCACAAAACACTCAACCCAAGCATTATAATCTTACATCTCTAGAGCGACAAGCTCTAGATGAGTTGTCCCATAACAACAACATCATCATTAAAACCTGCCAAAAAAGGAGGCGGCATTGTTGTACAAGAAAGGGAGTACTGTATTCGAGAAGCATATAGGTTATTATCCGACAGTAACACATATATAAAATTACGAAAAGATCCTCTACCCCAGTTTCATACAAAAGCTCAGACCCTAGTTGCCAAAGCACTACAGCGTAATGTCATAACTAGAACTGAACCTTCTTTCTTCAACAAAGAATTTGTCAGGGCAGGGCTGTGGAATGGACAGGTAGGCCTAGTGGCAGGGTAACGCACTGGCTGAGGACAACCACCACCAACAGACCGAAGTCCCTCAGGGCACGGAGTCTAAGTCCCAGGCTGCCCTTCACCAGGGCCCCTGATGGTGGGGATGGACTTGACGCAGCCAGGAACCAGGTCGCGGCCCCCGAGACACCCCGGCTGCGGTAATGGCCGCCGCCAATGGCGTATAGCTGGTGAGAATGACAATAGCGTAGTCAGGCAAGCTGGGTCAACAACAACGGGACAAAACAGTACAGAACAGTAGACAGAGAATCACCGGTCACGGGCGGGTTCAGCAACGGAAGGTCAGATCGAAGGAAAACGCAGAGAATGGTCTAGTCACAAGCCGAGTCAAATACCAGAAGAGTCACGAGCATATACACAGAGCTGTAGCAAGACCAAGACACAAGACACAAGTGCAAAGAGCATGTGCGGATCACAGGCTTATATGTACTCAGCCACACCCCTCTGGGGGATGGACCTCAGAGACCTGAAGGCATAAAAGCTTCCCACCATGCTCAGCATAAATCCAAGATGGATGCCAGCACATGGAGTAACATAACCTCTGGGAAAAGGTAGGACCTTGACAGTACCTCCTCCTCAAGGGCCCTTCCCCCTCCGCGGCTCAACAAAAGGTTTCTGAGGAAAGCGGGTATGAAAAGCGCGGAGGAGGGCAGGAGCATGGACATCCGCGGAAGGAACCCAGGAACGCTCCTCAGGACCATAACCGCGCCAATGAACCAGGAATTGTAATCGACCTCGCACCAATCGAGAGTCCAGGATCCGGCTCACCTCATACTCCTCATGACCGTCAACCCGAATGGGACGGGGCCGAGGCAGAGAGGTAGTAAAGCGATTGCAGATCAAAGGTTTCAACAGTGATACATGAAAGATATTGGAGATCCGCATCCCAGGTGGAAGGGCAAAGGCATAGGCCACCGGATTCACCTTGAGGAGAATGCGAAAAGGACCGACAAAACGGGGAGCTAGTTTGGGTGTGGGCACCCGAAGATTGAGGTTACGAGTAGACAACCACACCCGATCGCCGACCTGGTATGAGGGAGCGGGCAACCGTCTGCGATCAGCCTGGAACTTCTGACGCTGAGCCGAGTCCCTCAAAGCCCTCTGGATCTGCCCCCATGAAGAACGCAGGGCAGCAAGATGGTTCTCCACAGCCGGAATGTCCTGTGGTGAGAACCTCTCAG